CTACATGGGAATTCAGCGACATAGCCATTACACTAACTGCTGGTTCCCTGATAGTTTTTCTTATGATCTTTTTATTTCTGTTAGATCTCTTGTAATGTTGCTTGTTTCATCACTCGTTTTAGTTATCTAGACAGTTGGTGGTGGGAGGGAGGGGCTCAGGAAAAAAAATGAACAGACACAGGAATGAAAAGCTATTGTATAAGAAGTGTCTTTGACCTTCCTGACATGCAATGCAGCTATGATTTGAGGACCCATATCATATGCGATAAAAATGAGAAATAACACAATGTAAATAAAATTACATATCAAGTATGTATGTGAATAGAAAAAATACTTAAAAATATTTAGATATTTCAAATAAAAATAAATAAATAAGGACATCAGGGTATCCTGGATGGCATTCTGCAACAGAATAACTATATTAGTTAAAAACTAAGGACATTTGGGGACCAACAGGTGGCATGGTGGTTTAGGCATCACACCTACCACATGGCCAGCTGCAGTTCAAGTCCCGAACCTTGAGGCTTGAAATTCACATTAGGGCCGGCAAGTGGTCTGGTGGTAAGGGCACTGGCCTCATGTGGCAAACCGTGGTAAATTAAAAGATAAAGTTGAATAAAATAATCCTAAAGAAAAGGAAATCTTTAAAAAAAGAAAAGAAAGCAAAGAAAACCACACACCTGGCACGTATATGTGCCTGCTGAAAATCCCAGGAGAATAGAGGAGAAGGGATTGAAGTGTAACCATCTCTCTTGGGGAATGATCTTTCACTGTTTCTCTCTCTACGTCTCTCCGGAAAGTGCTTGAGCCCTATGGCAAAAACCTTAAAAACAAACAAACATACAAAGGAAAAGCTAAGGAAATATGAAGAAGTATGGACTTCAGTTAAACGTGTTTTTTAATTGTGTCTAAAGTTCTATATTAATGTACGATGTTACCAACTGGGAAACCATGTGAGTTATAAGGGATATCTGTACTATCCTGGAATTTTCTTCTAAGTGTAAAAGTGTTCTGAAATAAGGGAAATCAAATAACATCTTCACTGGCAATATGCTCATACATCTTTAATTCTAAGCACGTGCTTCCTTGACCTTTTAACCTTTAGATATTTAACAGTTATTATACTTGTGTTGAAACCTTCCATTTTCCCAAAACGCAATTTTTTTTTTACACTGAAAATTTATTCTTATATTGGCTTAATCTTTTAATGGGGGTTATTTTAAATGGGATTGATTCAATAATGTTAGTGAACCTTCACTTACGAAGCAGTCTAAATGCATTTTGTGCATAATGAAAATGTAAATCAATGAGTCTTTTAAAACTAGAGGTCTGTTGACTAATGCTCAATTTTTTGTAATCATCTAGAACTTAATAAAATGTCACAGATGACAAGGAAGGACTGCAGAATCAGCATGCCCAATATTTAATTCAATATCTATTATGAAGTTTCTTTAATAGTCACACTGCAGCACATGTCAAATGTATAATAATGTAGAATTAAAGAGTGAGCTAGATTGAAAGCAATTCCTGAAAATATTTCTATCTGAGTTTACACTGTTTTCAATTTTGCTTATTGAGGTCTCTGTTTTTGTTTATTTTGAAAACATGCTGTTTAAGTGCTCAAGAAAGCAATTGACATGGGAAATGAACGCCTTGCTAGCTAGAAGGTGTAGTGCCAGAGCAAAATATCAGGTTGGAGAACTGTAATTCGAGTGTCAGGGTTTATTTCACTGCGCATTATACATACAGTGTAATAAACATTCTATTTTCTTTGTTTTAATACACTGCCACATATGAGTGGATCTTCAAAATGTTCACACATAATTGTTTACCAAAAAAAGCACATACATTTCAAAAGTAAATGTTTTTTTGCACCAAGATA